ATATACCTTTTGCCCCCCTCTCTCTTTCTTCTTCTTCTGGGATCCCAATTATTCTAATATTGTTTTGTCTTATGGTATCACTTATCTCTCAAATTCTCCCCTCGTGATCCAGTAGTTGTTTATCTCTCTGTTTCTCAGCTTCTTTATTCTCCATCATTTGGTCTTCTAGATCATTAATCTCTCTTCTGCTTCATTAATCCTAGCAGTTAGAGCCTCCATTTTTTATTGCACCTCATTAATAGCCTTTTTGATTTTGACTTGGTTAGATTTTAGTTCTTTTATTTCTCCAGAAAGGGATTCTCTAGTAGCTTCTATGCTTTTTCAAGCCCAGCTAGTATCTTTATAATCGTCATTCTGAACTCTAGTTCCAACATCTTATTAATGTCCATATTGATTAGGTCGCTGGCAGTTGGTACTGACTCTTGTTCTTTTTTTTTTTTTTTGAGGTGAGTTTTTCCATCTTGTCATTTTGTCCAGAGAAGAATAGATGAATGAGAGAACAAAATGCTAACAGGGTAACAACGACCCCAGAAAAATATACACTATAAACACATCAGAAGAGACCTGAAACCGGGGGGAAAAGAAAGAAAGAAAGAAAAAAAAAGAATATGATCAGGATGGTGAATAGAACAGAGCCACACACTAGATTTTGAGTGTTTTTTTGTCTGTTAGGAGAAACTGCCTCCCAAAAATTTAAAGAAAGAAAAACATATATATACAAAAATAAGGGTAAATATGATGAAGGGATGGAATATGACTGTAAAGATGAAAAATAAAAAAGATTTTAAAAAAGCAATTGATAAGATAAGAAATTGGTTGAAAACAGAAAGAAGAAAAAAAAAAAGGAGAGAATGTGATCAGTTGGGAGACTAGAACAAAGCCATACATTGGATTTAGGGTATATTTTGGTCTGTTAGAAGAAACTGTATACCAAAATTTAAAGAAAGAAAAACATATATATATATATGGTTAAATACAATGAGGGGATAGAATATGACTGTAAAAATGAAAACTAAAAAAGATTTTTAAGGGGCATCTGGGTGGCTTGGTCATTAAGTGTCTGCATTCGGCTCAGGTCATGATCCCAGGGTCCTGGGATCGAGCCCCGCATTGGGCTTCCTGCTCCATGGGAAGCCTGCTTCTCCCTCCCCTGCTCCCCCTGCTTATGTTCCCTCTCATGCTGTCTCTCTCTCTGTCAAATAAATAAAATCTTTTTAAAAAAATTTTAAAAGGAATTGATAAGATGTTGGTTGAAAAAGGAAAGAAGAAAAATTTTTAAAAAAAGAAATAGAAAAAGAAAAAATAAAGAAAAATTTAAAAATTAACTTTGAAAGACTAAATAATCATGGGAAAAAAGCCATGAATTCTATGTGCTGTATTCTCCTAGCACTGGAGTTTTACAGTTCTCTTTGATCACTAAACTGGGTCTTGGCTGGATGTTCTTGCTGATCTTCTGGGGGAGGGGCCTGTTGCAGTGATTCTCAAATGTCTTTGCCCGAGGTGGAATTGCACCACCCTTGTCAGGGGCCAGGCTAAGTAATCTGCTTGGGTTTGCTCTCGGTAGCTTTTGTTCCCCGAAAGTTTTCTGTACAGCTTTGGAGGATGAGAATGAAAATGGAGGCTTCCCAATCTCTGGCCCCAGAGGAGCCAAGAACTCAGGGCCCCACTCCTGAGTGAGCCCCCAGAGAAAAGCAGTCAGTTACTCCTGTCTCCCTGGTCTCTGGCCGCACTCCGAGCTCACCTAGCCTGTGACCAAACGTTTCTATCTCTGGCACCCGACCCTGTTTGGAGTCTCCAAACCCAGCAGATTCCTGCGGTGCACTCCCATGCTGCTCTTCCTGGGGGAAGAAGGGGAGACTCCCCCAATCTGCCACTTGTTGGGTGCCTGCTCAAAGAGCAGGGGCCCGACTGTGTCACAGATCACGGTTTATGGCAACCCCAAGCTGCGAGCCCACTCCTTGGCTCCTGGGAGCTCTGCCACACTCAGTCACCCCTGGTCTTTCTGTGACCCCGAGGGTCCTGAGACCACACTGTCCCAGTGAGGGTTCCACACCCACCCCCCCACCCCTTGCTTAGCCACTGGAGTGACATCCCTCAGTGGAGCAGACTTCTAAAAGTTCCAATTTTGTGCTCTGCTGCTCTGTCACTTGCCAGTAGCCGGCTGACGGAGGCTCCCTCCCCTGCCCCCCACCCCCGGGGTCTATCTTCCCATGTTATCACCTGAGATTCACTTCTCTGCATGTCCTACCTTCCAGAAAGTGGTCACTTTTCTGTTCATAGAATTGCTACTATTCTTTTCTTCGATCCCCTGTTTAGTTTGTAGGTGTTCAGAATGGTTTGATAACTAGCTGAATTCCTGGGACCAGATGAAATTTAGGTCTTCTACTCCTCCACCATCTTGCTCCTCTCCCTCCTGGAAATGTCCCATGTTTGATGAATACATTAACCTACATATCCAAGAAGTTCAGAGAATCCCCAGTAGGATAAGCATACAAAGATCTACAATATAGATATCATAGTGAACTGTTAAAAGACAAAGAGAAAAATCATGAATTCAACAGGAGAAAAACAACTCATTGGTTATAGGGGAGCACCAATGTAGTTAACAGCTGATTTTTCTTCTGAAACAAAGGAATCCAGAAGGCAGTGGAATAATATATTCAAAGTGCTGAATGAAAACTCTAGCAATCAAAAATGAAGGCGAAATAAAGACATCCCAGGATAAACAGATATTGAAAGAATTTGTTACTAACTAACTTGTCTTGCAAGAAACACTAAAGGAAGTTCTTCAGCTGGAAAGGGTATGGCACCAATTGCTAACGTGAATGCTGGAAAGGATATGGCACCAATTGCTAACGTGAATCCACCAGAAGAAACAAAGAGCACTAAAAATGGTTAAATTTAAGTTAATATAAAAGATTTTAGAAATATATTTTTCACTTTTACTCTTAATTTCTTTGAAAGACATTATATAAAGCATTAATTATATTGCTGGGTTTATAACATATATAGATTTAATTTATATGATAACGATAGCATAAAGGAGGGAGGATAGTATGGAACTACAGTGCACTAAAGTTTCTACATTATACCAGAATTAAGTTGCTATCAATGTGATATAGATTGTGATTAGTTAGGATGGCTAAGAAAATCGTGTGTGTGTACATATGCATATACACAAATACATATGTGTGTGTGTGTATATATATATATATATATATATATAAACAGAGGAATTAAATGGGAGCATCACAAATATTTAACATAAAAGAAGGCACTTAAAGGAACAGCAGAGGAACAAAAAAGACAAGATATGTAGAAAGCAAATAGCAAAATGGCAAACATACATGTAAATACTTCAACAATAACTTTATATGTAAGTAGCATTAAACACCCCAATGAAAGGTTAGAGATTACAAGACCAGATTTTAAAAAATCAAGATTCAATATAATTCTGTGTAAAAACAGACACACTTAGATTCAGATACACATAAATTGTAAAAAGATGGAAAAGATATACCATGCAAATGGAAAATGTAACAGCTGAGTGGCTATATTTATATCAGACAAAAGAAACTTCAAGGAAGTATTACTGGGGCGCCTGGGTGGCTCAGTCGTTAAGTGTCTGCCTTCGGCTCAGGTCATGATCCCAGGGTCCTGGGATTGAGCCCCGCGTCAGGCTCCCTGCTCAGCAGGGAGTCTGCTTCTCCCTCTCCCATTCCCCCTGCTTGTATTTCCTCTCTCGCTGTGTCTCCCTCTGTCAAATAAATAAATAAAATCTTTAAAAAAAAAAAAAAGGAAGTATTACTAACAACATAGAGTGGCATGTCAGAATGATTAAAGGGTCAACTAATTAGGAAGATAGAATTTACAAAGTATTGTATATAATAAATATATACATTATAAATGTATACATACCTAACAACAGAACCTCATAGTACTTGAAGCAAAATCCAACAGAACTGAAAGGAGAAATAGGTAATCTGAGCGTAACATTTAGAAATTTCAATATTCCGATCTCAATACTTGGTAGAAAAATTATACAGAAAATCTATGTTAAACACTAACTTAGCATACAACCCAGAAAATCATTTTTAGGAACTTACCCAAGAGAACTGAAAACCTGCATTTACACAAAGACATGTATGTGAATATTTATAGTATATCAGTGAAACTATCACTGTAATCAAGATAATGTACATATCCATTACCTGCCCCCCCACCAAAGTTTTCTTGTCTCCCCTATTATCCTCTCATACCTCTGACCACTCTTCCCCCTCTTTGTTTTTTGGTCTGGCTTCTTTCACTCAGCATAAATTGTATTTAGATTTTACCCATGTTGTTTAATTAAAAAATTGTTATGAGATTTTTTTCCCAGTCATTTACCTAAAGTTTGAATTTCCTTATACAAAGTTTTTAGTTTGAACTTTAAACCTGCCTTATTTTTCCAATTATACTTGATAAGCCGGTAGTAATTAGATAATATTTCTTATGCAGTAATAATCTGAAATTGTGTATCAAAGATTAAAAGCTTTCTGGGAATAAGAGTTATGAAACACCAAAATCAGGCAAGGTTGAAAGGTTTCCTCATAATAATTTAAGATTTTATTTATTTGTCAGAGAGAGAGCGCACAAGCAGGGGAAGCGGCAGGCAGAGGGAGAAGCAGGTTCCCCGCTGAGCAAGGAGCCCAATATGGGACTCATTCCCAGGACCCTGGGATCATGACCTGAGCTGAAAGCAGATGCATAGTGGTCTGAGCTACCCAGGCGTCCCACCTCATAATAATTTAAATAATAGGGTAGGCAGCTAACTTTCTATGATGGTTTTACCTATTCGACAAGTATGGCAATCAATAAAGTTTTTCATTTCCCCTATCTCCCTCTGATTCTACAATGTTGAGATTACTAGAAAACTGAATGATGTTAAAGAATAATATGTTTCTTTCAAATCTGTCTCATTTGCCTGTGATTCATTGCATTTTTTTGTTGTTTCTTTTCAGACCAAATGTTTATTTAGCTTGTTCCGGGACACTGGCCATCATTTGATTCAGAATAATAAAATAGGAGGAATTAATTCTCCATTGTCTAAACCTGTTGTTTCTAAGAACCTGAAGGAAGAGAAAACAGTCAAAGAAAAGGATATGGAAGGAAGGCTTAGGCCTGGGGATTTGGTAGGTTGTTTAGAAGGTGATGATTTTGCTAGTTTTGTTACATTCCAGAGGCTTGCACTGATTTCTTATCTGGCAAATTGCATCAGTTTCGTTTGCATTTTGTTGCAACATAAAGATCATTGTTCCTAACATTGTGAACACCATGTAAGAATTCAGTTTTTGAGGTGTGTTCATTTTCTTTCAGCAAGCACCTAGTATAAAATCTCAGAGCTCAGATACTCCTTTGGAAGTTGAACCCTCTCTAAGCCACAATCCAGAAGGACAGGTAACTATGCATAAAGAGTTGGAAAATTGAGTATGATATTGTGAAAAATGCTCATTATCTTAGTTACCGTCCCATATTTGCCATGACTAGCTTATGACTTTGGGTAAATTTCTTTGTCTTGTTGAGACTCTCTAAAATGAGCAGGTAGTACCAAATTAGCTTTAAGGTCCTTTCTAACATTACAAGTTTATGTCTTTTATTAATTCTCCTATATTATGCACTAGGAGGAATGCAAAGATTTATGATCTGCAGCATTTACTCATGTGCGTTCAGGACACTCAGTAGTCTGGTGGGTGAAACAGATCGGTACATAACTAACCATAATACAGAATTTTGATGAGTGCTGTAATAGAGGTACAAATAAAAGGGCTGTGAGGGCTCAGAGAAGACAGATTAATCACTCCTAGGATGGGGCAGTCTCAGAAGCCTACATGGAAGAGGTGGCATCTGTGCTAAGTAGTGAAAGATTAAGAGAACAATTTGCCAGATGAAGATGAGGGAGTAGGCATTTCAGGACCAGGGAATAACTTGAGTCAAGGCACAAAGAAGGTAGCAGAATTTGGAGTATATCAATTAATTTAGTGTATGGAGTAGAGAAATGAAAAGAAAGGAGAGATTCTAGAAGGAGGTGAGAAAGGAGAGGCTGCACTGAGTTGTAGAAAGGCTTGTTGTTGAAAGCCTTGCTAAAAAGTTTGGTCTTCATTATATAGGTGATGAGGGACTCTTGAGCTTCATCTGGGAGACTCACATGAAAGGTTTTTAAGTTATGTGGAAATAAGACCTTATATGTATTTTAGGGCAGAACTCTTGCAAGGATGTGAAAAAGAGAAGGAAATTCGGGAGGGGGCTTCAAATATCAGTTTATAGGTTTTTATTATAATACAGATGAGTGTTAGTGCCAGTTTGATTTAGAGAAGATGTTGTAGTAAAGAAAGAAACTTGAAGAGGCAATATCTGGAATTGGGAAGTTTGAGGGTGCTGAGGAAGAACAGGTAAAGATAACTCAGGTTTCAAGCCTTACCTTCTAGAAGGATGACAAAATCATTAAGAGAAAAGTCAAAAGAGAGGTCAATATAAGGGAAATGATAAGTTCAATTTGGGATATGTTGTATTTAGGATGCTGGCAAAATTCTGGGTAGAAATGTCCATCAGGCTGCAGTTGGTAGATGGTGATGTGGATGCTGTGAGTGGGAATATCAGAATGTTATGTGAATATTTCCACAGGACTTGGAAGGTGTGGTGGCAGAAAGAATAGCATTCACTTAAAACAGTTCCAAGAAAAGCATTGAACAAGTTAAACAGTGCTTCAGCTGAGATAAAAGTTTCCAAGAATAAAACTGAAATGCTTTTCTGCAAGAGATAACCACTGTTACTATTTTCTTTCCAGTTATTTTTCTATATTAAAAATATTTTGACAGTCAAGATCATGCTATATACATATAGTTGTATATGCAGTTTTCTTACTTGTATTGTGAATGTTATCTTATGTTACTAAAATTTGTTCATAAATATCTGTTTTTAATGAAAAGAATAAGTTAGAGACAAATATCTTTACAGCAATATGTAGAAGCAGGGACATACATTGTGTTGGAGATTCAGCTGGACAGAGCCTTGGTTCCAAAGCGAATGCCAGAGGAGCTAGCCAGAAGGTATGTAGCAATGGTTCTTATACTTGTTTTACAAACACATTTTAGGTATAAATAAAAGGAATTCAGATTGTCCCCATAAATATAATTTTCCTAGGCTAAGTAGCAGAAAGTTTTCTGTTTTTTTTCCTCAGATGAAATTTCTTTTGTTACTGTTGTTTACTTATTACAAAAGCAGTATATGCTCATTATAAAAAAGATCAAGATTTGGAGAAAATTGATATCAGCAAGTATATAAAAACACTCAGATTTCTACTCACCCAGTGATAGCTACTTTAAAAAAACTGGTATTTATCCACCCATGTCACATTTAAATAAATGTAATTTTTAAAAATGGTTTTTTTATTGTACCATAGTGCTTTGATTGTGTTTCTAGAAAATTATCCATTTCATCTAGGTTATCCACTTTGTTGATATATAATTGTTCATGATATTCTCTTATTATTCTTTTTATCTGTATAAAATGGGGAGTTATGTTCCTGCAGAGCCAGACAGGAGGCTTGATTTCACCACCCTGAGATTATGACCTGAGCCAAAATCAAGGGTCAGACACTGAACAAATTGAACCACCCAGGTGCTGCTGTCACAGATTATATTTTTATACATTTTTGTGCCTATTAGGAAAGATTTCTAACTATTATTTTATGCATTTACCTTCTAAAAACAAGTAAACAGGAGTTACAAACCAAAAGTACAATAATAATGGCTTTCATATTTACATTTAACAGTGTTCCTTATTTCTTCAGTTACCTTCCAGTTACTGACTAGTGTCCTTTCATTTCAGCCTGAAGGGCTCCCTTTAGCATTTCTTATAGATTAGATCTTACTAATAGACTCTTTTGTTTATTTTGTTAATTTTTTTTTCATTCTTTTTTTTTTTTAAGATTTTTTATTTATTTATTTGACAGAGAGAGAGATAGCGAGAGCAGGAACACAAGCAGGGGGAGTGGGAGAGGGAGAAGCAGGCTTCCTGCCTAACAGAGAGCCCAATGCGGGACTCAATCCCAGGACCCCAGGATCATGACCTGAGCCAAAGGCAGACGCTTAATGACTGAGCCACCCAGGCGCCCAATTTTTTCTTCATTCTTGAAGGGTAATTTGCTGTATATAGAGTTTTTGGTTGGCATTTTTTTTTCTTCCAAAACTTTAAATATGTTATCCTAGTACTTCCTGGCCTCTATGGCTTGTGTTAATCTTATTGCCATTATTGAAATTATCTGTTTATCTTATGTGACAAGTCACTCCTCTCACTGCTTTTTGAGCTTTTCTCTTGTCTTTGGTTTCTGACAATTTGACTACAATGTGTCTTAGTATAGATCTCTTCAAGTTTATTCTGCTTGGAAATTGTTATGCTTCTTGGATGTATAGATTCATGTCTTCCTGCCCTTTTCCTTCTCTCTTCTCCTTGCGGGATTCCCATAAGGTGTATGTTGGTCATAGAAATTGTGTATGTTGATGGTGTCCTACAGATTTTAGGCCCTGTTTACTTTTTTGTTTGTTTGTTTTTCTTTCTGTTCCTCAGATTAGGTAATTTCAGTTATCCTATCTTCAAGTTTGCTCATTCTTTCTTCTGCCTGACCAAATCTGTTGAATGCTCTAGTAATTTCCTTTCAGTTATTGTACTTTTCAACTACAGACATTCTATTTGGTTCTTTTAAAAATTTCTATCTCTTTACTGATATTCTATTCTTATTTTGTTTATACGCCATTTTCCTGATTTCTCTTACTCCTTTGTGGTTTCCTTTAACTCTTTGAGCACAGGTAGGTTGCTTTATTGCACATCTTTCTGTAGCAAGTCCAGTGTCTGGGCGTCTTCAGGGACAATTTCTATCAACTTAGTTTTTCTTCTGAAAGAGCATATTTTTATGTTTTATACATTTTGCGATTTTTTTGGTGTTGAAAACTGGACAGTTTGATATTATAAAGTGGGGGGTTTGGAAATCAGATTATCCCCTTCCCCAGGGTTTGCTGTTTTTTTTTTTTTTTTTTAGATTTTATTTATTTATTTATTTATTTGACAGAGAGAGACACAGAGAGAGAATGGGAACACAAGCAGGGGGACTGGGAGAGGGAGAAGCAGGCTTCCCGCAGAGCAGGGAGCCCAATGTGGGGCTTGATCCCAGAACCCTGAGATCATGACCTGAGCTGAAGGCAGACGCTCAACCGACTGAGCCACCCAGGCGCCCCTAGGGTTTGCTGTTCTTAATTGTTGAAGTTATAGGTTGTGTTCAGCCAGTGTTTTGATTGAGATTTTCTTGAATCCCAGGATTTTAATATAATCAAACAAAGAAACAAAAATAAAACAAAAAAATTTTTTTTGTTTTTGCGGATGACTGCATGCTAGAGGATTTTTTTTTTTTTTTTTAAGATTTATTTATTTAGGGGTGCCTGGGTGGCTCACTCGTTAAGCATCTGCCTTCAGCTCAGGTCATGATCCCAGGGTCCTGGGATTGAGTCCCTCATCAGGCTCCCTGCTCAGCGGGAAGCCTGCTTCTCCCTCTCCCACTCCCCCTACTTATATTCCCTCTCTCACTGTCTCTCTGTCAAATAAATAAATAAAATCTTTTTAAAAATTATTTATTTATTTATTTTGAGAGAGAGAGCATGTGTGAGCAGGGGGAGGGAGGGGCACAGAGAGAGAGAAGCAGACTCCCTGCTGAGTGGGGAGCCTGAGGCAGGGCTCAATCCCATGACCCTGAGATCATGGAAGTTGCCTTCGAAAAAGTTTGCAGTTCCACAAGTGATGTATGAGCCAAAATCAAGAGTTGGACACTTAACTGACTGAGCTACCCAGGTGCCCCTGGAGCATTCTTTTAACGCTTAACTAGGCTGTTTATAATTCTGCCTCAGCCTTCACTTCCTGCTTGCACTGGGACTATAGATCAGTCAGTGGTGGAAGCTTAGGTTCTTCTCAGGTCTTTTCTGAACATATATCCTGTCCTGAGCATGTATGCAGCTTTCTAAATTCTTCTGTACAAGTACTTTTGAATACCCTAATTTCCCAAAGAAACTGGCTTTTCTTCCTAGGTCTTAGGTGGTTTGTCGTGTCTCAACCATAATCTTTTGTCCCACAGAGCTATGGGTTTTTGATAACCTTACAATGTTTTTGAGCAATGCACACCCACTGGTTTTCTACTGTGAATGGATTTCAAGATAGGAGAAACAGAATTGAGTGCTTTATGTCAGTCATTCAGGTAGACCCAGATAGGTTAGAACAAATGTAGTAACTTGTGAACAAGGTCTGCTCTGCTTCTCCAGAATCAGAGCCCAGTGTGCCACACTGGAAATGCAGGTTGCCATTTTCAATATTGCCACTGAGCTGGGAATGGGGTGAGGCAAGGGCAAGTAAAAATGCCACAAAGCTTCCCCACTATTATAGTTGCCTTTTTCTTGGTTTAGTATTCATTTGGTTATCATAACTTTTGACTGTCTTTCACAGTTCAGGCAGAGTTGGTTCTGACAGTTTCTGATTGTTATTTTCAATGTTTCTACAAAGAGATGGGAGTTTAGAGTTTTTTTCTCTATCATTTTGCTGGTCTAGACTTTACCTTTTGGTGTGAGGAACACTATGCTCAGTACAGGATGAAAGGAAATGATAGCTTTTATCTTGGAAACTATTTATTATAGATATTTTTAAGGCTTGATAAATACCCCCAAGTTGCCTTCCAAAAAGTTTGCAGGTCCACAAGTGATGTATGAGCCTACTCTTTCTTCATACATTCACAACACAGTACTTTTTTATATTTTCTACTTTGGCAGGGGAAGAAAGTTTCTCATTTTAATTTAATTTTTTTCAAAGTTTCTCATTTTAATTTTAGTCCACATTGTAAATGTTTTAGTGAGAGTAAACATTTTTTTCACATATTAGTCATTTGGAAGTCTTCTTTTGAAAATAACTTGCTTGTAGTGGTACATTTATCCTTTATACCAAAAAGTTTCAAAGCTTTTAAAAAACTTTACGTTTAGTCCCTTTCCAAAAATAAGTTGGTAATATTTACTATAAATGATATATATAAAATAAAATTAATAATCTGGAAATAGAAAGTTAAAAACTCAAGCCATGGAAACAAAGAGGAAGAAAGTATTAAATGGAACTTTCATAAATAAGCATCAAATCTTAGTTGTTTAACAAAAAGGGAAGTACTATACATTTTGCAGCTCTAATCCTAAAGGAGGACCCATGCTAGTTCCAAACGAGATCAGATATCTTCCTGGCATTAATTTCTAAAACAGATTTCTCATTTGAGCTCTTACATAGGGAATACTGAGTGACAAAATAACAGCATGCTTAATGAAAGTTTTATAGCAAATGTAGGTGCAATTTTTAATAATTTTTTTATTGAAGTGTAATTGAAATTTAACATTATATTGGTTTCAGGTGTACAACATAATGATTCAATAGTTGTATACACTGTGAAATGATTACCACAATAAGTCCAGTTAATATCTGTCACCATACATAGTTATGCAAAAATTTTTTTCTTGTGATAGAGCTTTTAAGTTCTACTCTTTTAGCAACCTTCAAATATGCAATACAATATTTTTGTTTTGTTTTGTTTTTAAGTTTTATTTATTTTGTTTTTAGTAATCTCTATACCCAACATGGGGCTTGAACTCATGACCCTGAGATTGAGTCACGTACTCTTTCAACTGAGCCAGCCAGGTGCCCCTCAAATATGCAGTATGGTATTATTATTTTATTTTATTTTTTAAAAGATTTATTTTTTTAAAAAAAGATTTTATTTATTTATTTCAGAGAGAGAGAGAGCACAAGAATGGAGAGGGTCAAAGGAGAAGCAGACTCCCTGCTGAGCAGAGAGCCCGGTGCGGGACATGATCCTAGAACCCTGAGATCTTGACCTGAGCCGAAGGCAGATGCTTAACTGACTGAGCCACCCAGGCGCCCTTATTTGTTTATTTTAGAGAGAGAGAGAGAGAAAGCCCAGTGGGGAGGGGCAGAGGGAGAGGAAGAGAGAATCTCCAGTAGACCCTCTGCTGAGTGTAGAGCCTGATGTGGGGCTCCATCCCACCATCCTGAGATCAGGACCTGAGCCACTCAGGTGCCCCTATTCTTAGACTTTTTAATGAGATATGGTTATTACCTGTAAGTTTTTCATTGGCTGTAGGTACGTAGAAGGTAGATTTCTCCTCCAAGCTAGCCCAAGTGACAGTATTATAGAACAAAGGCAAATTAGAATGGCAGTGTTAGAATATTGGACCCAATATTCATAAAAGATGATTTGCCTTTGGTTCTGGATGAGACATATATGTACTAACTGCTGAATCTATGTCAATGTATAATAATGTATATATATATAAATTTAATGCATTCTTAAACATGAAGAGAAGCTCAATTACTTTTATAATAAAAGAAGTACAAATTAAAAACTACCCTGAAATACCTTTTTAAATTGCAGAAGATCAAAAAAGCTTAATAACTCATTAGGTTGTTGATGAGCACATTAGAAATAGGTTCTGTCATTCAAACTAGTGAGAGTATAAATTGGTAAAAATCCTGTGGAGGACAATGTCATAATAGCTGTTAAAATACATAAGCATGTGTCTTTTAACCAAGTAACTCATTTCCAGTAACTTCTTTACAGATAAATGTTTTTAGCAAGGCCATTAGTGACTACTGCATTATTAAATCCAATGGTCTGTGTTCAGGGTCATTGTGACCTGTTATTAGTGTTTAATGACTCAGTCCTCCTTGAAGCACTTTCTTTACCAGGCTCTCAGGATACCATACTCTCTTGGTTTTATTCCTCCCCATCTGGCCTTCTTTATGTCTTCAGCCTCTAAATGTTAGAGTCTCTTAGAGCTCAGTCCTTGGACCTCTTTTCAATCTACGTTTACTCCCTTGGTTTTTGTCTACTCTCATGGCTCTAACTACCATCTATGTGCTGATGGCTTCCAGATTTATATATGGACCCTGCACCTCTCTCCTGAACTCTGAATTCATATATCTAATTCTCACAAACTCTCTGGTCAGAGTCATAGTAATCTCTCACCTGGTCTCCCTACATATACTATTCTACCTTTCACTTTATTCTTTTTATTAAGTAACAGCTTTATTGAGATATAGTTCTCATACCATTCATTTCACCCATTTAAATGGTAGAGTTCGGTGGTTTTTAGTATACTCACAGAGTTGTACAGCCTTCACCACAATCAACTTTATGACATTTTTCTTACCCCTAAAAGAAACCACACACATATTAGCAGTCAATCTACAGTTCCTCCCAACCCTCATGCCAACCCCTCACCCAGAACGCTCCAGCCCTATGCAACCACGTATCTACTTTTTGTCTGTATAGATTTTCCAGCTTTGGACATTTCATATAAATGGAATCATACAATACATGGTCTTTGTGACTGGCTTATTTCATTTAACATAATGCTGTCAAGGTTCATCCATACTGTAGCATGTATCAGTACTTCATTTCTTTGTTTTTGAATAATATTTCACTCTATGGATATACCACATTTTTCCCCCATTCTTTAATTGATGGACATTTGGACAATTTATTCTTAATACAGCATTCTATAGTGATTGTGTTAAAAAGGAGGTCAACTCATGTAACTAACTCCTCTGCTCAGAAACTACTAGTGACTCCCTGGTACACTCTGAGTAAATGCCTAAGTCCTTACAGTGGCCTACAAGTGCCTACATATTCTGTATGCACTTTGCTCTCACTTTTTCTGTCTAGCCGTACTTGGCTTCCTGCTGTTCTTCATGCATGCCAGGCACACTGTTGCAACAAGGCCTCTACACTTTCTGTTCCCTTTGCCTGTATTTTCCTTATCCCAGATATCTACACAACTTGCTTCCTCACTTCCTTGAGGTCTTTACTCAAATGTTACCATCTCAGTAAGAGTCTTGATGAAATGTGTTTCCCTACTTCACCACCTTAGTCCCCAACATAGTCTGTCTGACTTCCTGCATTATTTTTCTCCATGGCACATTTCACTAACATGTTTATCTTAATTATTGTCTTTCTTTCCCCACTAGCATATAAGCTCCATGAAGGCAAGAATTTTTGTCCTAATTTGTTTAATGCTCTATCCCCAATACTTAGAAAAGTGCCTGATGGATGGTAGACACTCAGTATATATTTTGAATGAGTGAATAAGTAACATTGTCTCTGGAGAGGAAATTGGGTGGCTGGACAACAAGATTGTCAACAAGGTAAAGGACAAGGAGACAATTTAGTATATATTGTTTTATACCTCATAAGTTTTGAATCATAGGATATATTACCTATTAAAATAAATAAAATTAAAATTAGAAATAATGAACAGAGATATACAATTACATAAGACCTATTAAAGAAAAACTGAATTTGTGAATTTGATTGTAAATTTTAAGGCAATACTATATACTTCAGCAGGAATCTGAAACTATAAGGAGGAAGAGCTAAGAATTTAATTTCCTCTAGTTTTTATAAGGTATCCTGAAAATGGAAGGTAGAAGTTTTGGCATAAGTAGGTTGACAGTAACAAAATATATTCTCTTAATCAGCACAACGTCTGATATCATTATTGTAATTTAATGCAGTCATAAATTATGTGTAACAAGAGGACACTTTTTATCCTAGATGGAGAGGAAAGAAAAGCATTCACTTGCCTGTACCATTTAGATTTCCAAAACTTCATTCTTTCAGAGACTCTACAGAATGCACCTAAAATCATAACACCTGTTTCTTGCCAACTCCCGAGTCAAGCAGTCTCTTGAGTGCAATAGCAGTTTTAAAAAAATATGTAAGAATAAAACCAGGGCTCAAATTAGCCAAAAGTACAACTTTGTTACTTTTCGAGTAGCTGCTTCCTAGCTTCTTTCCTATCTAGTTCATAGCTGTATCCTGTTCTATGGTTCACATCTAGGCTTTTACATGAGAGAATTGCAGTGCTCAAGTGTGATACTCCGATACAAGCCCTTTGGAAGTAGGAATAAGAGAACATAAATCTGCAGATAATAAAGTTTGTTTTTGTTTTTGTCATTTTTTTCTGGTACAGGGTCAAGGAAATGATTCCTCCAAGGCCGCCTCTTACCCGTCGGACAGGAGGAGCTCAGAAGGCAAGTGCCAAAGCCAAGATGAAACTATAAGTAATAAGGTGTTGAGTACACCCATTTGAAAATAAGGCATGGACTCTTCAGTATGTTTTCTAGAAGGGGCAAGAAATTGTAGCTTCTCATATTTCTCTTCCTGGTTCTGTTTGTGACCAGTGACATAACAATGAATAGTGAATAGTGTTTAATCCTTTGGCTGGTAGTCTCTGAGCTGAAAAGTAAAGGGCAATTTATACCTAAAACATTATTGAATATAAAACCCCAACCAGTTTCAGAGTCCATTATATATCTTGATCTCTTCAAGGCCTCTTTACAAGACATTTTGTATTTTTCTAGGCGGTGAGTGACTACCACATGCAGATCAAGAATATATCTAGAGCTATTCTGGATGAGTATCATAGGATGTTTGGAAAACAGGTGGCCAAACTGGGGAGTGATATGGATAGTGAAACCATGGAGGAGCAGAAGTGCCTGCTCAACTATGAACTTAACTGCTCTGGAAAATACTTTGCTTTCAAAGAACAACTCAAGGTAAATATTCCTTTAATTGTTCAGTGGATTTTTATGAAGCATCTTCTCTACATTCCTAATTATTAGTTGTTCTCTGGTCATGTTCTGCTACGCTTCCACCATTCTTGCTGTTGGTGCCAAGAGTTATGTTCTGTCTGATAGAATATGAGAAGCTCCACTTGTGGAAAGCCTTGGAATGGTTAAGTATCCATTCCAAGTGTGAGCTTTTAAGAAACTAAGTCTTTACTTGAGGCTAGGCCAGATTTTGAGCCAGGTTTCATGTTACTGTAGCAGGCAAAAACTCTGTACCTGGTACTAATTCCATGACTAATTCTCTGTCTTCCATTACCTACCTTTCCATAGTCCACAGAATCACTAAGATTTGAGAAATATTTACTTAATAATTTCCTACATAATAATGGTTAACATTTATTGAGTGTTTGCTGTACACCAGACAAAATTTTTTTTTAATTTATTTGACAGAGAGAGACACAGCAAGAGAGGGAATACAAGCAGGGGGAGTGAGAGAGGGAAAAGCAGACCTCCCGCTGATCAGGGAGCCCGATGTGGGCCTCGATCCCAGGACCTTGGGACCATGACCTGAGCCGAAGGCAGACGCTTAATGACTGAGCCACCCAGGCACCCCACCAGACAAATTTTTAAATGTTTCGTATTTTACTAATTTAATCCTAAGAATAACCCTATGAGGTAGATATTCCTCATTTTACAGGTGGAGAAATGCAATATTAATTGGTTAAGTAATTTCCCTAAGGTCATAGAACTAGTAAAAGTTAAAGATGGGACTCAAATTCAGGCAGCCTTCTTGCTCCAGAATTTCACATTCTTAACTGCTACACTGGATTGCCTCTCTGTGCACATTTACTATGTTTCCTGTACTGTACTTAACAGATACAAAGAAAGAACATGGAAGTAATAGGGTGAAAAACAACTGACGCTCATGGAGGCGAGGAGCTCTTCTCAGTAGGTGGCATAGTCACAACTTAATTTGATTCCTGGTTCTACCATTAGCAGCTGGATGGTCAAATGACTTCGCCTCTCTGAGCTTTAATTTCTTTGTGTAACTATGAACAATAATACTAACACTATCACATGGGATCATTATGAGAATTAAATAATATGATGCATGGAAAGTGCTTAGTACAAAACCTGGCAATAATTTTAGCTGGGGGGGGGGGGCGGGGAGCTGTCATGGCTATAGCAATATGTTATTTGCACAGCAATTTAAGCTTCACCACCTACCTGTTATCTTTCTTTGGCTTCTCAATCATCTTCTGAAGTAAGATAATAAGACCAGAAGTACACATCCATATAACAAATGAGGAAAATGAGGTAGTAACTTTAATTTTTGAGGTTGTACAGTGGCAGGATTAGAACTAGAATCCCATTCTCCAGACTGTCAAATCAGGCTTTTTCCTCTTGTATCATGTGGTCACCATGAGAGATATAATGTATAAACCTAATGCTGAGGTCTTCTTTGGCTCTATGGCTCTCTTCAAATGATATGAGTTCTGCATTGACCATATTAGAGATGACATCAAGAAAAGAAGTCATGCAGAGTATGTTGATTGGTGGAAAATCAGAGACCTGACATTCTAGCAGTTACCAAGGGAGAAATCAATCACTTTCCGAAGTTCTGATGAGCCTTAGACCAGAAAGAAGCTCAAGGGAAGCCTGTGTTGTCAGCATGGTGCTGGACTTTATAATCAAATGGATGATCAATGTCTCTTACAGCATGCCGTAGTAAAGATTGTGAGAGAGAAGTATTTGAAGACAACATCATTTGAAAGCCAGGAGGAACTGCAGACATTTATTAGTGAGCTCTATGTGTTCTTGGTGGATCAGATGCATGTGGCCTTAAACCAGGTAGGTGCTCAAGAACTAAGAGCCCTTACTTTTCTCCGTAGGACATCAGGGTCTCTGAATGATTCCTTCCTTCCTTGCTTCCTTTCTTCCTTCATTCAGCAAACATTTATGAGGTGTCTACTCTGTGCTAGGCACTGACAAAAGTGAATAAGAAACTGCCTAAATTATAAAACTAATTTTGGGGAGAACAAGAGAGAATAATTCAATTTCCTGGCATAATAACTTTCATAACTGTCATAAATGTGATGGATGAAAGAAATATATAAAATCAGCTAATTAAATTATAAAACAAAGGGGCGCCTGGGTGGCTCAGTCGTTAAGCATCTGCCTTCGGCTCAGGTCATGATCCCGGAGTCCTGGGATCGAGCCCCGCATCGGGCTCCCTGCTCAGCGGGAAAGCCTGCTTCTCCCTCTCCCACTCCCCCTGCTTGTGTTCCTTCTCTCACTGTGTCTCTCTCTATCAAATAAATAAAATCTTTAAAAATAAATAAATAAATAAATTATAAAACAAAAATCATCTATTTATTCTGTGAATGTGTGCAATTCTCAGTTTGCTCTCCATGATTGGCAATCAAAACTAAGAAACATTATGAGCTTTCAGATATACCTGAATGACAATGATACTTCAAACATGCCTTTTCTTTTTTTTTTTTTTTTTTAAGATTTTATTTATTTATTCATTTGAGAGAGAGAGAGAAACAGCATGAGAGGGGAGAGGGTCAGAGGGAGAAACAGGCTCCCCGCCAAGCCGGGAGCCCGATGTGGGACTCAATCCCAGGACTCCGGGACCATGACCTGAGCCGAAGGCAGTCGCTTAACCAACTGAGCCACCCAGGCGCCCTCTTTTTTTTTTTTTTTTAAGAGAGGTGGGTGAGTAGGGGCAGAGGGGTAGGGGGAGAGAAGAGACTCCCAAGCAGGCTCCCTGCCCATTGCGGAGCCCCACACAGGGCTCAATCTCACAACCCTGAGATCATGACCTGAGCCCAAATCAAGAGTCAGATGCTTAGCCCACTGAGCCACCCAGTTGCCCCTAAACAGGCCTTTTCTATTTGACTGATAGCCTGCTCTTCTCCCATTTGTCTGTTTCTATCTATACTTGCACAGCTTGCATCTTGTCTTCATTTGCTCATTTTAAAATGTATACAGTTGTGGTTTATTTGAAAAAAATGACAAAAATCAAAGTCTTTTTGTCCCCTTGGTAGTCTCTAAGTAGCCATGCTTCCTCAAGCCCTCTATTCTATGTTTTTTTCCTTTACTGTTGTTTTCTTCTGTCACCATTACTTTTTCTTTCACCTTGTCCAGCCTTTCTGGAAGAGGAAGGTGAGGATATCTGATATCCTAGGATTAAGAAAACAATCCCACCTTGGGCACAGATGATTTGGATAAATTCTCTTGAGAATTGAGCATGAGATAGTAATTACTGTTGCCTTGTGCCCCCAAGGAATCCCTGTCTAGTAGAGGAGAGAGACGTCAAATACAAATAAGTGCAGTAGGGCGAGGTAAGTGCTGTGATAGGGATGTGTCTATGGTAGAGCAGGTTAGGGGATGCCTAAAGAAAGAGTGATCAACTTCACCCTGAGACCTGTCAGGAAAGGATTCACAGAAGAGCTGTGGCTTGAGCCTGAAGGCTAAAACGTTCTCCAGGGAGATGTTTCAGAGCATTTGAGTCATAGGGAATATCACAAAAGCTTGGAAGCTTGGAAGTGTATGGCATATACAGAAACTGCATATAGTTTAGGAGCAGAGGTTGAAGTGGTTAAGGGACATAGAAGTAGGAGGTGAAGCCAGGGATCAGTTCCAGGTAGGGGAATTGAGAATGTGGATGGAAGCCTTATATGCCACACAAAGAAGTTTTGACTTTTTCCCTTATTAGCATTTGGAAGCAATAAATTTAATTATTTTATAAGTGGAATAATATGATCAGATCCACATTTTATGAAAAACACTCATAGCAGTATGTCAGGTGGGTTAGATGTGGTGAAACTGGTGGTGTTGACTGGTTATTAATGTAGTAATAAAGGGGTCAAAGATTCTTAAGTTTAAGGCTCAATGACTGGGTAGCTGGTAGTACCATTAACCAGGACAAGAAATACAACACAAGTGAATTTGGTAGGAGGCGGGTGATGTTGAAATCACTTTTGAACATTGGTTCTTATGAGGTTTTTCTCAAGAGAGAGATCTGAGCTGTAGATGAGATTTGGGGAGACATGAGTATATATAGGCATACCTTGGAGATATTGACAGTTTGGTTCCAGACCACCACAGTAAAGCAAATATCACAATAAAGCAAGTCAAATGAATTTTTTGGTTTCCCAGTGTATATAAAGTTTACACTATACTGTAGTCTATTATGTGTGCAATAGCATTATGTCTAGAAAAACAATGTACATACCTTAGTTAAAAAATACTGTATTGCTAAAAAATGCTAACCATCATTGAGCTTTCAGTGAGTCCTAACCTGAGATCACAGATCACCATAACAAATATAATTAACAATGAAAAAGCTTGAATTATTTTGACAATTACCCAACTGTGACACAGAGAGACAAAGTGAGCAAATGCTATTAGAAAATGGCACCAATAGACTTGCTTGACACAGAGTTGCCACAAACCTTCAATTTGTAAAAAAACCAAAAAACAATATCTGTAAAGCTCAATAAAAGACAATATGCCTGTAGATGCTAGTTAAACTATGGTCATAGATGAAGATGCTGAGAAAAACATGAGTCAAGAGAGAAGTGAGCTGTCAGTGGAACCCTATCAAACACCAGCATTTAAGGGATGGATGAGTAAAAGAATTAATGAAGGAGATAAGTGAATTGTTAAAAAGGCAGAAGAGCCAGAAGACAGTGGTATCACAGAAGCTAAGGGAAGAGAATTTTAAGAAGAAAAAGTAGTCAACAATGTCAAATATTCCTAGTAGTTCATGGGGAGGGGGAATTGGAACAAGGTGGTCAAAAGGTATAAACCTCAAGTTACAAGATAAACAAGTACTAGGGATGTAATGTACAGCATGATGACTAGAGTTAACACTGTTGTATGATATATGTGAAAGTTGTTAAGAGAGTAAATCCTAAGAGTTCTTATCACAAGAAAAAATTTTTCTTTTTTTTCTTTTTATTGTGTCCATTTGAGATGATGCATACTAACTAAACTTATTGTGGTAATTATTTTACAATACATGTCTGTCAAACCATTATGCTGTATGCCTTAAACTTACACAGTGATGTATATCAATTATATCTCAATAAAACTGGGGGAAAAAACACAAAATTTGAAAGTTTTCATTGAATCTGAAAATAAGGAGGTTATTAACTTTTACATAGTAATATCAGTGAGCTAATGGAATGGATTCAAATTATAATGAATTATGGAGTAAATGAGTGATTAGGAAGCAGATGAATATAAATTCAATAAGTTGGAAGATGAAAGGAAGGAGGGGGAAAGTAGAAGCTAGAAATTATAAAGATTTTCTTTTTAAGCTGGTGATGCCTTTAGCATGTCCATAGGTTTGGGAAAAGGAGTCAGCAGATGGGAAGAAATTGAAAATAGAAGGAAAGAGAGAATAATTGATGGTAAGCCAGGGTATATACAAGTGGGAAAGGATCAAGAACAGAGAAGGATGTGATGCTTCTTCCTCAGACTGAAAAGAAAGAGATACAATGGATGCAGAAATAAACTCTTCCAATGTGGGGTTCATAAGTTGAGGGATTTCTGGCCTAATGATTTCCATTTCCTCTGTGAAGTAATGTTTTTACTGACAGTGAAGGGAATAATGTTTGAATAAAAGCCTGAAGAAAGAGAAGAAAATTTAGATACTGCATCATAGCATAATGGAATATGTTGTTGAACAAGGACAACTACATAGATTGCGGAGAGTATGAAAGGCCTCCAGCTAAGGCTGACTGCCAAAGAATCTGTGGCAGCTCAGATATTTCTTTGTATATGCAGTTTTCCTCAGGACCTGTTAGCAGCTCTTGTCTAAGAATGAAGAAGTCAGATAGTAGGATTGTTTTAATTTGGGAGTCTTCAGACCAAGTGCAGGAGAAGGACAAGGATGCCTGGAACCTGAGTGTGCTGGTGGGAGAGTAGTATGAGTGGATGATCATGTGGTCCAGGCTTACCCATTGGGAAAGATAGGCATATTGGAAATGAAGGAAATGAAATCAGAGAGCAGTTTTCAGGGGATTAAGTGACAAAAAGACTGAAGGCTTGTAACGCAGATTCTGGGAGTGGGATATTAGAGGTAGAGTATTTCTGGTTTGGGCAATGAAATGTGTTGCTGGAGGGATTTGGAGGTCAAGATCATTAAAATTAAAAATAACAAAGAACAGGGCGCCTGGGTGGCTCAGTTGGTTAAGCCACTGCCTTCAGCTCAGGTCATGATCCTGGAGTCCCGGGATCGAGTCCCGCATCGGGCTCCCTGCTCGGCAGGGAGTCTGCTTCTCCCTCTCCCACTCCCCGTTTGTGTTCCCTCTCTCGCTGTGTCTTTCTCTGTCAAATAAATAAATAAATAAAATCTTTAAAAAAAAAAACAAAAAACAAAGAACAGAGGCATTAATCCATGATCAGGAGCTTTCTTTGGCCCATCTCAAATTTAGCTTTACTCTCTACATCCCTTAACAACTCTACTTGTTAATGTCACTGATAATTTTTTTACTTTTAATTAAAGAATTTGGGGCGATCTTCCTTGGCAATAACTTCTGATCCAGGAGATTACTTATTATACCAGAACTGCTTTCCTGGATGGGTACATAGGGTATAATATTTTTCTGGGTTTTCTCCTACCTTTCTGGCTATTTCTAAAATGTTTCCTTTTTGGGATTTGCTTACATATCTCACTAAAACTACAGAAACAACTTCCAAAGCTTTACCCTTAATCTCCTGTTTTTTTTGATGTTTGAAGACTCTAGCTAGTGCTTGCCAACCTTCTTCATGTCATGGCAACTGAAAATGATAATATTTGTCCCATACACTAGAGAAAATGTAGGAAGCTGTTTGAGGTAGAAGGAAGCTTACTTAGAGATTTTGACTTCCCTGAAGGTTGAGGAGAACAGTTCTGCCCAAATTAATTTTTACTCACTTCTGTGAGTTTAGATTGTTGGTATTCAGATACCTGAGCCTCTCTTTCACCCTTGATATTTCTCTCTTGGTTCATTCTCACTCTTACTATTATTGGCAAGACTATAAGAAACCCCAATAGCATTTTCAACCTCATAACTGCGGTCTCACATCTAGTTTATTCTTATAAGACTCTCTACTTGTAATTGCTTTGTTTTGTTTAACATCTTGATGTTGTCAAGACCATGCCAGATGATACCCAGGGCGCTGTTTCAACCATTTATACAAGCAGTGAACAACTTCGACTCTTTGCATTTGAAGCAGAAGTCAATGAGAACTTTGAAATGGCAGCAGTGTATTATGAAGAGGTAATTAAATGTCTTCCCAGTGGTAGTTGTTACTATTATTTGTATAATATGGGTATAACAAATAGTTTTTAATTATTTAAAACCCAACAGGACTGACAGAAGGATAGACACATAAGTCAATAAAATAGAGTCTAAAAACAGGTCCACATAAATAAGACCATTATATTTTTGACAGAGGTGTAAAGGAAATTCAATAGAGAAAAGCCAGTCTTTAAAAAAAAAATGGTATTAGAACTGTTGGTCATCCATATGCAAAAAACAAAAACAAAAACAAAAACCCAAAAACAAAAAACTTTGACTTAAACCTCAAACACTGTATAAAAAATCAACTTAAGGGGCATCTAGGTGGCTCAGTTTGTTGAGCATCCAACTCTTGATCTTGATCAGGTCTTGATCTCAGTGTTGTGAATTCAAGCCCCATGCTGGGCTCCAGGCTGGATGTGGAGCCTACTTAAAAAAAAAATCAACTTAAAATGAACCATAGATCTGAATGTAAAACATAAAACTATAAAAATTTTAGAAGAAAACAAAGGACAAAGTCTTCATGACCTGGAGTTTAGGTAAAGAGATCTTGGACATGACACAAAAGCATGATCACAAAAGAAAAATAGGATAAATGGAACTTCATCAAAATTAAAAATGTGTGCTCTCTGGGCTCAGACCTAGTTTGTGGGAGACATGGCTAAATGCACCAAGAAGGTCGGAATCATGGGTGAAAATACAGGACCGTTATGGTGCCTCCCTCAGGAAAACGGTGAAAAAGATTGAAATAAGCCAGCATGCCAAGTATCCTTGCTCCTTCCGTGGCAAAACCAAGATGAAAAGACTATCTGTGGGGATCTGGCATTGTGGCTCCTGCATGAAAACCGTCGCTGATGGTGCCTGGATCTACAACACCACTTCTGCCCTCACAGTAAATTCTGCCATCAAGACGACTGAAGGAGTTGAAAGATCGGTAGAAGCTCCACCATTTGAAACATTGATAGCCTATAATAAATGGGTTAATTTATGTACAAAATTACTTAGGCTTGTTAAATTTATTAATTAGATCTTTCAATTTGTGTTGCATTAGTTTTGCTTTCTCAAAGGACTTGAAAATTAAAAATCCTTCTAATTTTTATTGGAAAAAAATTAAAAATGTGTCCTCTGTAAAAGATACTATTAAGAGAAAGAAAAGGTATGGACTAGGGCGCCTGGGTGGCTCAGTTGGTTAAGCGACTGCCTTCGGCTCAGGTCATGATCCTGGAGTCCCAGGATCGAGTCCTGCATCAGGCTCCCTGCTCAGCAGGGAGTCTGCTTCTCCCTCTGCCCTCCCCCCCCATGTGCTCTCTCTCATTCTCTCTCTGAAATAAATAAATAAAATCTTTAAAAAAAAAAAAAAGAAAAGATATGGACTAGGAAAAAATATCTGCAAAACATATATGACAAAGGATTTGTATCCAGAATATTAAGAACTCCCAAGACTCCCCCAGCTTTGTTTTCTTTTTCAACATTTCCTTCGCAATTTGGGGTCTTTTCTGATTCCATACAAATTTTAGGATTGTTTGTTCCAGCACTTTGAAAAATGTCATTGGAATTTTGATGGGGATGGCATTGAAGGTATAGATTGCTCTGGGTAGCATAGACATTTTTTTTCCCTTTTTTTTTTTATTCTTATGTTAATCCCCTTACATTACAACATTAGTTTTAGATGAAGTGTTCCATGATTCATTGTTTGTGCACAACACCCAGTGCTCCATGCAGAACGTGCCCTCCCAAATACCCACCACCAGGCTAACCCATCCTCCCACCCCCCTCCCCTCTAGAACCCTGTTTGTTTTTCAGAGTCCATCGTCTCTCATTGGGTAGCATAGACATTTTAACAATGTTTATTCTTCCGATCCATGAGCATGGAATGTTTTTCCATCTTTTTGTGTCTTCTTCAATTTCTTTCATGACTCTTCTGTAGTTCCTAGAGTATAGATCCTTTACCTCTTTGGTTAGGTTTATTCCAAGGTATCTTATGGTTTTTGGTGCTATTGTAAATGGAATTGTTTCTCTAATTTCTCTTTCTACAGTTGCATTGTTAGTGTATAAGAAAGCAACTGATTTCTGTGCATTGATTTTTTATCCTGCCACATTACTGAATTGCTGTATGAGTTCTAGTAATTTGGGGGTGGAGTCTTTAGGGTTTTCCACATAAAGTATCATGTTATCTGTGAAAAGAGAGAGTTTGACCTCTTCTTTGCCAATTTGAATACCTTTTATTTCTTTTTGTTGTCTGATTGCTGTGGCTAGGACTTGTAGTACTATGTTGAACAATAGCGGCATCCTTGTCATGTTCCTGATCTTAAGGGAAAGGCTCTCAGCTTTTCCCCATTGAGGATGATTTTCGCTGTGGGTTTTTCATAGATGGATTTTATGAACTTGAGGAATATTCCCTCTATCCCTGTACTCTGAAGAGTTTTAATCAGGAAAGGATGCTGTATTTTGTCAAATGCTTTTTCTGCATCAATTGAGAGGACCATATGGTTCTTCTCCCTCCTCTTATTAATGTGTTCTATCACATTGGTTGATTTGCGAATGTTGAACCACCCTTGCATCCCGGGGATAAATCCCACTTGGTCGTGGTGGATGATCCTTTTAATGTATTGTTGGATCCTATTAGCTAGGATTTTGTTGAGGATTTTGGAATCTATACTCATCAGGGATATCGGTCTGAAATTCTCCTTTTTGATGGGGTCTTTGCCTGGTTTGGGGATTAAGGTAATGCTGGCCTCATAGAATGAGTCTGGAAGCTTTCCTTCTGTTTCTGTTTTTTGAAACAGCTTCAGTAGAATAGGTATTATTTCTTCATTGAATGTTTGGTAGAATTGTCCAGGGAATCCATCAGGCCCTGGACTCTTGTTTTTGGGAAGTTTTTGATCACTTGCCCAATTTCAAGCTATATTACAAAGCAATGATCACCAAGACAGCATGGTACTGGCATAAAAACAGACATATAGACCAACTGAACAGAATAGAGAGCCCAGATATGGACCCTCAACTCTATGGTCAAATAATCTTTGACAAAGCAGGAAAAAACATGCAATGGAAAAAAGACAGTCTCTTCAATAAGTGGTGCTGGGAAAATTGGAGAGCCACATGCAGAAGAATGAAACTCAACCATTCTCTAACTCAAAATGGATGAAAGACCTCAATGTGAGACAGGAATCCATCAAAATCCTAGAGGAGAACATAGGCAGTAACCTCTTTGACATCGGCCACAGCAACTTCTTTCAAGATACATCTCCCAAAGCTAGTGAAACAGAAGAAAAATGAACTTTTGGGACTTCATCAAGATAAAAAACTTCTGCACAGCAAAGGAAACAGTCAACAAAACCAAGAGGCAACCCACAGATTGGGAGAAGATATTTGCAAATGACACTACAGATAAAGGGCTGGTATCCAAGATCTATAAAGAACTTCTCAAACTCAACACCCAAAAAACAAATAATCAAGTCAAAAAATGGGCAGAAGACATGAAAAGACACTTCTCTGAAGAAGACATACAAATGGGTAACAGACACATGAAAAAGTGTTCATCATCATTAGCCATCAGGGAAATTCAAATCAAAACCACACTGAGATACCACCTTACACCAGTTAGAGTGGCAAAAATGGACAGGGAAAGAAACAACAAATGTTGGAGAGGTTGTGGAGAAAGGGGAACCCTCTTACACTGTTGGTGGGAATGCAAGTTGGTACAGCCACTTTGGAAAACAGTGTGGAAGTTCCTCAAAAATTTAAAAATAGAGCTACCCTATGACCCAGCAATTGTTCTCCTGGGTATTTACCCCAAAGACACAGATATAGTGAAAAGAAGGGCCATATGCACCCCAATGTTTATAGCAGCAATGTCTGCAATAGCCAAACTGTGGAATGAGCCGAGATGCCCTTCAACAGACGAATGGATAAAGAAGATGTGGTCCATATATACAATGGAGTATTACTCAGCCATCAGAAAGGATGAATACCCAACTTTTACATCAACATGGATGGGACTAGAGGAGATTATGCTAAGTGAAATAAGTCAAGCAGAGAAAATCAATTATCATATGGTTTCACTTATTTGTGGAACATGAGGTATAGCATGGAGGACATTAGGAGAAGGAAGGGAAAAATGAAAGGGGGGAATCAGAGGGAGAGATGAACCATGAGAGACTATGGACTCTGAGAAACAAACAGGGTTTTAGAGGGGAGGGGGGTGGGGGGATGGGTTAGCCCGGTGATGGGTATTAAGGAGGGCACGTACTGCATGGAGCACTGGGTGTTATTCGACAACAATGGATCATGGATCACCACATCAAAAACTAGTGATGTATTGTATGGTGACTAACATAACATAATAATAATAAAAAAAAGAACTCCCAAGATTCAACAATAGAAAAACAACTAAATGAAAATGGGTGAATGATTTGAACAGGTATTTCACTAAAGAGGACATAAATATGATAAATAAGAACATGAAAAAATGTTCAACATCATTAACCATTAGGGAAGGCAAATTCAAACCACAATAAGGTGCCACTACAATTTATTAGAATTACTAAAATGAAAAATGGTGACAATATGAGGTGCTGGTGAGGATATAAAGGAATTGGAACCCTCATACTTTGCTGGAGGAAATGCATAATGATAAAGCAACTCTGAAAAATAGTTTGGCAGTTTCTTACCCATTTACCATATGACCTACTCCTGGGTATTTACCTTAAAGAAGTATAATCTTATGTACATGAATGCTTATAGCAACTTTATTCATAATTGATCAAACCAGAAACAACTCAAATGTTCTTTAAAGGGTGAATAAATGAACAAACTATGGTTTATCCATATAATGAAATACTATTCAGCAAGAAAAGAAATGAACTAATACAACAACTTGAATGAATCTCAAAGGCATTATACTGAGTGAAAGAAGCCACTGTCAAAAGGTTATGTACTTATAATGTCATTTATATAACATTCTTTTTTTAAATTGA